GGAACAAAGTCGTGGACAAAAGCTAATTAGAAATAAAATTAGTTGAATATGACTCAGAAAGAAATAAATCTTGTGTAGCTGGTAATGCGCTAAATACTATTCACTTTGATAGTGGTGGTTCTCATTTTTAAACAGTGGTTTAGAAAATTCGAGTTTGAGAGTGTTGTTTTCAATCGCGCGAGTAGATTCAAACGAATCCCGATTCATTGCGCATCGTAATATTGCCGCCCAGTCGTATTACCGCAAGCGCACAGCCTCTCGTTCGTTGGAGTTTAAAGGCTTCTTTTCAAACATTTAGTACGTCCTTTTGATAAATATCACAAAGGACCGTTTGATCCCGACGGCGTAATCCTTTCAACCTATACATTTTTAAGACGCACCATTGGCCGCATGAGGTAAGCATAGACCGGACATTGGGCTACCGGAGCCGTTACGCGAAAAAACAAAACACAAAGCGACACGCAGTCTTTCGTTTCCTTTACGCAGCCCACACCCGTGCGCAAACGTACAAACACCATTGTTTTGAATGGTCAGCGTCGGCAGACGAGTTTTACGATTTCGCCGACGCGCACATTTAGCATTCGTTTCACAGATAGTTGCTTTTGCCACACCGCCTTGATATCCGACATGCCGCATAAGCATTGTGAAAAATTCATAAAAAGCAATCGGCAGCTTTTTTGGAAATATTTATGAACATGGCTCGGACACTTGGGACTGCAAGGATAGCAAACTACCCACGGCGGCTAAAATTGACCGGAAATTTAAAAATGATTTAACGTTTATAATAAAGATGGGTTGGCCTCAAACGTAGAAAATTCGACAATACGATATGACAATTCATTAAATGCACCCAGTGCGGCGTCTTATCTGAGCACAGCTAAGTAATTAAATCTATAGTTGAAACTGGAAAGTGCTTTAGGGACGTGCATTGAAAAACATAAATATAAGTCGTGTGTGAACAACAATCCGGGTGTGTATTTGCCTTCACGCTAGAGGACATGCCTGGATGAGCGGAGAAGGATGTGGGAAAATAGAATAAAAACTAGAAACAAGCACAACTTGTATGTTTGTTTAGTTAGGTGGTGTTGTGAAATTCAATTTATTTAATGAAATCGATTTGGCTGCAATCTTGTGCTGAATTCCTAATGGAACGAAAATAAACTCCAAGTTTAATTAGAAAACGTTCTGCAGTGCGCGCCATAATGGCATTTCGGTTGCGTAAAGACGTTACCGAGCGCAACTCGTGTGCAAGTAGTGCTCGTTGATAGCCAGTCTAGTTTTGCTAGAAAATATTATTTCAGCATAAATATAACAATGTAAGGGTATTGCGCTGGCGCTGCTATTCAAATACTTGACGAACTTATAAGCGAAGGGAAATGAGAATTTATTATAAAACTGGATGATAAATTACTCCGTTCAGCGGCATGAGTCATAGCGCTACATTTTTGCGTTTCAATTGGAACGCCAGCAATTCAGCAAAGGTAGGAAAAAAATGCGAACATGGATGTCACGCATTTACAAAATTGTTTTACATGAACAAGGTTATTGTTTAGATTTTGAAAGATAAATTTTTATATTTTAAAGATTATTTCATGCGCGTGCACACGCTAGACATTAATAGTATATTAAGTAACAAGTGGCTCAACCGTAGCGAACGGTCAACCAATCGAGTCTTTAACCACGTTTAGCCACGAGGTGCTTACACTATTTTTTCTACTTGCACTCTAGTTCCACGTTGCGGTTTTTGTATTTCAACTTTTGTATTTTAAATCATCGAAACTTGCTAACACACTTAAACTGTAAGGTATAGGTATATACCGGGCCACGCGCTGGCCTTTGTGCCGCTTCGGTTCATATCGTGCCCCTCCGATACGAGCACCAGCAGCGCCTGCTTTGACATGTTTGACGTCGCATGGCATTTCATACCGCCTTGTGCTGCTCTGTAGGCAAATGCGCATGCGCTTGCTCCGGCCCGTGCATAATGCAAGTGCATAATGAATATTATGTACGGCTTGGCCGTCCGTGTATAAAGTACCACTTTTTGTGTCTACAAACCATGAAAAAACTGGCGCTTTATAGGTGGAAGTAGAAAAAAGAATGTAAATTCGTGAATTCATAGCAATTATATGTATGCACTAATCCTAGTCCGTTTGTGCGCAACACTGGTGTGCGGCTTCGCACAAGAATTATTGTCACCGAAACTCTTTGTAAGTACTCATTGGCACATTTGCACCATGTACGCGGTTTGCCGTCACCGTCACAGTGTCGCTTTTAATCCATCTGGTCTGAACGGTACAATCAAAAGGTGGCAGAGTTTAGTTCCCAATTAACTTTTACCCGGCGTCGCGTCGCATTCACCACAGTTCATTCTGAATAAAGGCGTGTTGGCTGCAAGGTGCAAACGCAAAACCAATTTAATTAACTATTTACCAGTTTAATTAAGTTGAAACTATTGATTGCACTGCGCTGCACAAAGCTCTTTTCAAATTTTAATACCTACGTTAGTCAGGAACGGACACAGATTAATCAAAGCTTATCAATAAAGGTGTTTTATTTTTCGTGTTAAAATTTAAAGCCTTTGATTGAATATCGGAACTGAAAGCGATGGAAAAATCGTATTTATTCCACGATTAGATTGTCGGCTATCAAAGCAAGTGTCAATGCGTTAAGCTAGAAGAAGCCACCAAGATCTGCACGATCTGCACGCTGACCAGGGCGCACGCTTTCTTTTTACCATCAGTCGTGTCCTTCCTGCGGCGCCCTTTCTGTAGGATCCGGTTTGGACGGATTAACCCGCCTGTCCGTCTGGCTGACAAACGTCGAAGCTTCATTCTTATCAGACGCTTGTTCGATTTGTCTATCTAATTCGAAAAGCGTGGTTTTGCCAATCGCACGCACCACATCCTTCTTTCCGTCTTGGTGAATTTGATTGATAGACTTCACAGCCGTAAACGCATGCTTTTGTATTGCGCAAAATGAGAGCAAAAATACAACAGCCAATTAAAGCCCAAACATAATATACTCGACGGCGCCATTGATGATTCATGAACAGGATTTGCGAACGCACAAAAGCCAACTTCACTTCAATGCCCAACTCCGTGTCTCCAGGGAGTAACTTGGATCCTGACAACAGTGACAATTAGACGCACGCTTGCTAATTATATTAATTTGTTACTATGTGTGCTACTACCGTCACCATTTTATTACACAGCATCTTGATAAAATTTGACACAGTAATAAAAAAAATCAAGGTTTCTAAATTTACGAATTTGAGTACACAGCTAAAGAAAAGTATCTAAAAGTTTCTTTGTTGTATGTTGAATGCTTTAAGTCGTAATATGTGCTCGTCCGCCGATCGTGCCGCATTGTGGATGGAGAATATATATAAAAATCGTAAGCCGCTCAGCCAATATCGAAAATTCCGAAAAGAAGTCTGATCGAAAGAGCGAAGAGCAAGCAAAAGTTTAAATAACGAAAAATATTATTTCGACTAGACGAGCCGCGGCGCGATATTGCAGCCGAGGCGAAGATAAAGTGATGGCATTGTTTGCGTTCGCGAAGAAAGGAAATTGCACGCGTTTGCGGTATTCAGCGTTGTCGCTGACACCGTGGATGAAGACGACGCTCATATTGCCAGGCGTGCACATCTTTTTCGTGTGTTTATGTAAGTACGCTGAGCTGGGCGAGTCCCTGTACAGATTTAAATCCAATAGAGAGTTATACGCCTATGATATTTTTCACAAACGTTTCACTTTACCATCACACAGCAGCAGCATATTGGAGAAATTGAACGGATTTTCAAATTGAATTCATTCTCCGTTCTGTTCTGAGGATCTTAACGATTCGTTCAACTTTTAACGTGAACGGTGCGCGCAGCAATTTGCGGACTTCGACTTTGAAGGCCATGAAGTTCGGAAAAACGATTTCTTTGAAGTTTTAATTCCTCAAAAATAAGATATGCAATTGGATTCCGCTTTAGAATGATATTCCCAAGATCGGCTTTCAGCGAATGGTACATGTTTCAGCATTCTTTTGCACCGGCAGCAAAAGAAGCTGGGAATAAATCGGAAGTGAAAATATAATAATGTTACAGCCAATCGAGAAAGGGAAAATAAATTAAATCCGTAAAAAATATATGCCATTTCGGCAAAGCATTTTTTATTCGTCTTCCAGCTTGGAATTTAATAATGGCCTATACTATTTGACTTTACATTACCGCACGCCTGCTTACAAATCGAAATGCATAAATCTGATTTACGGGTAAAGGTTATCATCATACATAATTTTTATCGTCTATCGATGAAAACCGATTTTATTAAAAAATCTGTTTTGTAGGCTTCTTGAAAAAAGATATAGATATCCGGGGCAAAGTTATTTAGTTCGATAATAATTTTCCACTCAAAGAACATTAACGGTCTTAGGAAAAGTTTAATTGTCTAAAGTTATAAAAGTATTTTCCTTCGCTCGTTCTCATTATAATAAAACTCGTTTCCTTTCGTAAAATTCAAACTCGCTTAATTAAAAGGAGAAATGTAAATCTTAAACCGATAAAATCTTTTCCTTGCGCGCTGGTCTGGAAGGTATATAAATATTTCAAATTTGGATTCATGTACTTCCAAGCTCTATTTTTCTTTATTAATTTTACTTTTGATGAACATAAAAAGACACTTTACCAATTCAAACGTTAGAAATCAATTTATTACCTGCTTTACTTTTGAATAATCGAAACTTACAATAAAATTAGTAATACTATGAATTAAGAGATGGCGCATTTAGTATGAAATTATATTATAATTGAGTTATAAGTATTTTTAAGAAAATAACAAAAAGAAACACTTAATAAATTTATGATCTAGTATTAGAACTAGAAAACGTATGTCGCCGCAAATGTTTACATACATGAATTTTCACTTGTCCCGCAAACCTGTCCACTTTATGTCCCCGTACAAACTCAACCTGACACATGGCATTTTTATGAAACTTCTAATATTTTCCTTAGCGTGTACACTTGCTTCAGCTCCTGAATGCATCCCAGCTTGGTAATACAAGAAACATCACAAGAAACATAGAGGAACGAACATTACATGCTTTCCGTAGTTTTTTATTTGCGCCGCACTGTTGTGCATATTCTCGGGAAAAATCGGGGGAATTTTCATGTCGGCTCAACATGAAACCAGCGCGGAAACTCGGTAAAAGGTATAAGCGACGAGAATGTTGAATTTCTATTAACCCTTAAATGATGAATGGTATGCAATACTATTAAGGTCACATTTTAGATTTATTATCTATAATTTATTTCGGTTTATTATATAGCGTTGGTGATATGGCGCCGCCGTGTAAGCAAAAAGGATTTCCGCAACGCTTCCAGCACATTCATACCAAATGTAGTATTTTTCTTTCACTGCTACAAAGACTGCTGAAAATTTTTGCCCACACATTGTATACCTCACATGTGAATAAAACCCAATACACCTTTCTGAATTTGGCCAAAAATCTCGGTTAAAATAATATTATTTATGGCTTGACACTCGTTTCCCAAGTAAACCTTCATTCATATAAAAATACAAATAATAAATAAAAAGATGATATAATTCGTCGGGAAGATTGTTGGGTTAAATGGGTTTGTAATTTTCTGAAATAGAAGTAAATCATCGGAAGAAAATTGCAAGGCATGTTAACAAAATAATAAAGTTTGCGCAAAGGTTACTAATCGATTTCGTTTCGGAACACCATCAATCTTCGCGTGAGTTTCTCCACATTGCAGGCAATACGTGGATGTTAGAAAATTCGAAGAACGCCAATACCTCGCGGCAATTTTCTTATTTCCACCTCGCAATTCTTGATAGAGCAATGTACTTCTTTAAGTACTTTGGTACACTTTGAATATTTGCTGTTGCCAGTTCCTGTATAAGTTTCGCGTTCGTAAAATTTAAAGTGCACCCCGCAAAAGTTGAGTTGCGCTTGTAGAAAATCAATTTGTTTATAATTTCAATTTCAGCCTCGCTCGCTTCCCAACCTTTAAACTCTACTTTTATCCGCAACATCCGCAATTCAACCAAGTGCGAGAAACATGTACGCCGAAAACAAACACAGAGAGACAAATGTAGAGTGAGCACCAGAGGCACTAGACCACGACGTGCGCACTGCATACAAACGACGTTGGTTACGCTGGGATTTACATTCTGCATGTTTTACAATCGGCGAGTGATTCCATCTGTGTAGCATTTGCAAACTGTTTTCGTACAGTTTTTGCCTTTTTTGATTCCCACCACATGCCCCAGTAATGTAGCTTTAATTTACGTTCGCTGACTGGAGAAAGCTGAGTAGAAATGGATAAGCATTGTGTGAGATTAAATATTTATCCAGATTTTGTATTTTAGAAAATGTGGCGCTTGACTTTTTTCGCCCACATTCAATCAGCTGCAAACACTTGTACTTCATCAATTATATAACTGGTCGGCACAAAAGCGTAAATAATTTAATACGAAAATATTATAACAGTAGAAGGCAAAGTTGCGCTCCGCCAAAACATTAAGGTCGTTTGTTCGTTCGCTCGACGTTCGGGAACAAATAGCATTAGCGAAATTAATTTCGACGCAGAAGTCTCCTACGCGCCAAACCCTTTCAGAAAGCATTATTACCACTTAAGAGTTTAATATAATAAAATGTTTTAAAATTGCAAATTTTAGCAAAGCGCCCACGTTGCCATTGGTGTCGCACCAAACCTCTAAAATCAAACTGTAGAATTTAACGTATATTTAGCTCTCAACGTAATAATTTGCCTGACGTCATGCCTAGAGCAAACAAAAACATTGCATATGTAATAAAATTTTGGCTCAAATTTAATTACGTCTTAGTGCAAGAATCAAAAACAAATACTGCGAATGTTTACATCACGGCAAAGTAAACATGATGTGTTCTGGTGCGTTGATGTTCCACGCCGCGAAAAACACTTTTACATTTTGATGAAAACGTGAATTGCGTGTTAAACCAGCTCATTAATGCAAGGACCTACACACGCAGGCGTGCGCTATGGCTGCTTGTGCGCTCTCCTCGCTAATGGCTGTATAAAAATAAATTTTGCGAAAAACCACCGCCTCGCCGCCCGTCATAACCAAAAAACCGACGCGAGCCCATCATCCATCCCAATGCGATGAGGAGCGGAGCATTCGACGCTGTGGTGAGGACTTGTATTTCATGTTCAGCTCGTTTTCTCTCCAGTTCCACACGCTGGCGAAATTTGTACGCGGAGCCATAACGACGGACGCGGCTGAAATAATAAAAACAAATTTCCCGCGCTCACGTACCGGCAACATCCGCTCCTAATGCTATGTAATCTAATGTATAAAAGGTAACTAAATACCAAATTTCATTAGCGAGTATATCTTTTATGAATTTTTTTCACGATGCACTTCTAAGACGAAATTCTTAAACGCTCGCGCAAACATTAGTTTCTTCGCCATTACACTTCACACAGTTACACAAACACACCCAGCAAATTTCTTAATTAAAACCCCGACGCGCTCTTGTTCTAAATTTACATGCTGTGCGACGCGCGACATGTGCACGTATTTTTTTTTGCCGTCTAGCGCTGCATTCATAAATTATTGAGTGTCTAATGATATGGCGTGCGCGCTAATTCTGCAGCATATTATGTAGATTTTCCTCGGCGCACGCGCCGTTATCCGACGATACTGTGTCACCCAACATCACAGAGATACCGACACGTCGCGTCGGCGGCGTGGCGCTCTGTTTCGTGTGGCATCTCATTTACATGTACAAACCGGTTTGGTAGCTCGCTGAAACATTCCCTGGTTTCCGCCGGTGTATGGCCCCAGCCCCAAAGCGCATTTATGTTTCTATTTGAACCCTCACATTGCGCACAAAGTACTTGTACGGTCTGTGCATTTGTACATCCAAGGCTGTTTCACTTTTTGCGTGGAAATCGTATTCATATCGAAATTACTAAGTATAACGTTAATTTTTATAAAATCAAATGAATTTATATTTCAGTTGTTGTAGGAAAACGTATATTTGTCAAAAGAATCAATACCACTCAGTTATCAAGGATATAATCGTCGGTCCATTGTTTTCCTGAGATGAGAAATAATCACAATTGATTATAGTAGATTAGGTGTAGATAGTGAATTACTGTCCAGAATGAGAGATGTTGCGGTTGAATGAAAGATGATCAGAGTATAACGATGGCTATCGATGCGCTTCATGGGCGGCAATCATTTCCAAGTTCGTGTTTCTTGCCACACGAGACACGGATGTGAAGCGCGGGGGAAGAGAAACGGAAGCGTCCAATGTTTGCGGAGTGCCTCCCTGCCGACCCGTGCATTCCGCGGGTTCACTCGGGACGTGCATTTGCTGGATAGACAAGGGGCATTCTCCGAGTACAACAATGGTTCCACGCGAGAGAGTATAATCATTCACTTCTACTCATCGCGCTGCCATCGAACAGATCCGCGACACTCGCAGGCAAAAGCTTCGCTTTGGTCGACCATGTTTTTTTTATGATGCTGGAATTCTTTTTATGACCTGTCACGGAATCAACTTATCGTGTTTTTTTACGCCTTTTCATTATTGATATCGCGTTTCGAACATATTATGTAATCACGATTGAATGAACTTTTATTATGTTGACGCATAAAAAAAGGAAGGTCTGTGCTGACAACATTCGCACAGTTATTGATAGATTGACTAATGTGCGTCCAATATTTCACAGACTTCGCATTAACCTAGAAACAGTTTTTTCTGAGTATGAGTAACATATGATGTTTTACTTTCGATCAAATATATTTCTAACTCTTATACTGGTGTTATCTACGACTAGCTCAGTTAGTTAGGTCCGTCAGGATAATCCTACAATACTTTCGACTACATTTTTGTTGAAAATGGAAAACTGTTGTTTGCATCAACGTAAGCGAATAAGTACAATCAAGATAACATGGCCCTGCTGCTTCCAAAAGCCTTGAAAAAGTTGTGCGCCGGAAAATTCCGCCTACAAACTTACAAAAAGCCACCTCGTACCCTTTATGGCTTAAAATCTTTGGCGAGAAATGCTATGCCATGCTATTTCATCGTGCTGTGCATTTGGCTAAACAATTAAAACATTTGCAGGCAAACCAACGGCGGCGAGATTCATGTATTTGTAATGTTATGCAAACGACGCTTTTAAATATTTATGCACGCGGATGTTTTATTAAACAAGCATCAATGGGAAAACTTAATTAACTGCGTATTACATTTGTTAAACCGGATGAAACATTCGCGTTGCGTTTTGCATGCACACGCGGTTAAGATTTTTATCATCCGCAGGCTAATAAAAAAATGTCGTAAAATTTAAACGTACAAAGCAAAGTTGTTTCGTAATCAGATCAACATGATTGTCGAATCATCATGGTCAACGTAAATTTTTGTTTAATATTGCAGGTCATGAAGTGCACATTTAGTACACTCTAGGGTGGTCCATATGGGATTGTAGTATGATAACCGCAATTGAGGTTAGATTTTGTTTTTTTCTTTTTTGATTATGAGTAAGTATCTTCCATATGTCACTGAGCTTGGGTAAATATTAACATAAGCATTTTGTTGGATAAATTAACAATGCCCGCTCTTGCCAAGCCAATTTGTAAGACTTTCTTAAGTCACCCTGACGCGACGTGTCACGATGCTCGTCTCGCACATGATAAACACGTATAATCAAGACGGATTCCATTAGGATTAGGTTTCAGTCTTGCGTGCAAAAATCTTGTTTGCAACTTAGGCGCGCGCTAGCTTTTATCATCGCCGCTTCTAGTTTTTCTATTTGTATATTTGCACACAGGCGCCTGACGGAGCGCGCAATGTGTTATGATTAGGTTCGGCCGGGGGCGCATGAAGACGAAAATTACACAATAAGGAACGTGACTTTATTTTGAAATTGTCAGCTGCTGCTAGTCTAGACGTACAACTGAAATGGTAACTGTAGAAACACAGCGCGCGTGCGTATAAAACAGCCGACCTCGCCGCCCCCGCGGGGCTTATTTTGAATTTTATGCAGCTTTACAGTTTACATTGCTACCAATCTTGTTTGGCGCGGAGGCGCGTACGAATCGTCCTTAACGAATTGATTGTCTCTTCATAGATATATTTAAACACGCACCACGCCTACTTTCTCTGCATAATAAACTAATTAGAGTGTAAGGGAGAAAAGTAAATGATTAAGGAAATGCAACTTTGGTTTTTATTCAGCCCGTAGTTTGTACGATCGTGTTATACGTGAACACTGAAAATTTACAAGAGCACTAAAACGTAGCGTGGATCTTAGAATAATATCACGAACAGGGAGCGTACTGCGAAATAGAAAACCAAGTAGAGAAGAAAACAAGAGATCGAGTAAGGCAACCGTAAAACTGTGGAGAGTCGTTGGAAAATCGTTAAATTGAACCCCAAAGTAAGTTTAGGCTATAATTACGTGCCTATACGTACAATCGCAATTATTTCTTAGACAGTTTGGCAAAAACTTAATGTTTTGACATTTATTATGCCCGTGACTGTAACTATTCGCATAAGTTTACTAATTATTATGATTGCTGCTTCGTTCGT